CAATCGGTATGAAATATGATCCAAAGCATTAATAGCCATTCTCTGTAGCCACTTAAACTTCGTTGCCACGCAAGGTCACCGATTTTGATGAAACTCCACCCATGCTTAGCACTTGACACCAGAAACAAATATCTAACAAAATTTCGTTGCTATGTGTCTTGGTTGCTATGGCAACAGTCGGAAAAGTTTGAAAAATCAAGATTTTCAGCCTCTTTAAATCTTGACTGTGGCTTAATTAAAACTAGAAAAAGCAAACAAACCATTCTCACGAAAACATGACACCTTGATGTTACTTATACTGCAAAGAAACTGTTTAGAATATATCTCTAAGTAAGTGGTAACCAAGAGTACATTTGGAACACATTTAAAATGCTGAAATAAGTTGAAAAACACTCCGTATTCACCAATGGTAGGTGTTACATGCTCAAACTTAATCAACGACTTAAGAAAAACAATGAAAATGTTTTACCTTAAATATATAAGTATAAGCAATATTATTCTATAAATAACTTTTATGGTTGCCATGGTAACACAGTGTAACCATGCAAAACCAGTAACTAAGATTGGGTTAATGCTACTGTCTTGAGGAAAAACATGAAAATTCAAGACTGGCAAATATGCATCCTTAGGACCTTGCAACACCAAAACCATAAGAAAAATTGGGTATAATTGCTACTTTGCAGTGTTACCATGGAAACAAAGTACCATTGCTTAAAAGTGAATTATTTTTCGCTGAAATAAGAATTAAATTGCCATTTAATCAAGAAACAAATCAAAGGACTCAGCTTGAATAGTACTTATCTGATAGAACTGAAGTTGAATATCATATATTGCTAAAATTTGATGAATAAAACAACACTGTTGCTATGGTTACCAAGAAGGGAAAATGTTCGATTTTGTGAACTTTATATCAATATTAAACCCTGTGTGCCAACTTCTTGCATCCACTTAGAGATTGGATGATAGTCAAAATTAAAAGTCAAGTTAGCTGTTAATTAACATCAATCATAAAAGTTTTGGGAATCTACATTTAAGGGTACGTATCCAAGGAAAGAAAATATTTTTCAGGTTTTTAAGCATGTATTTTCTGCTTATTTCCATAGCAACGCTCTATTTAATAAATCTAATCTGAATTTTTTAAAATGGGAAAACTTGGAGCACACCAACATCTTATAAAATTGATCATTAGTTATGAGAAAACGTGCTTTTTTTAAAAGATAGGATCAGATTTAAACATACAGAGTGTTACTTTGAAGGCTCTCTTTGGTATAAAAACCTTGGCAACCATTGCCAACCAAAATGAAATATCATATTTTGTTCTTGGTATATGTTTCAAGGCTCTTTTTTCTATTATTTAGTCACATTTCATCCTATAATTGCTTTTTATTTTTACCTGTATGACTTTATAAAATTCAATGAATACTTTTTTTACTTTTGAATACTTTGTTACCATAGTAACGTATGTAATAGTTGATTTACCAAACATGTTTATCCTGCATTTGAAACATCTGACCTTCAACTTTTGGAAACAGTCATTGCCAATTGTTTTCTTTGCCGCAAATGTTAACTATGGGGCTCTAAACATGTTAAAAAATGCCATTTTTCGAACTTTAAGACATGTTGCCTTGGTAACTATATAACATAGCAACAAATTTTTGCCTGATTTCAGTTTAGGGTATCAATGACTTTTATCATAGAGAGTTTGGAGAAATTCTGAGACTATGCGTGCCACAGCTCCTATATAAAATTTCAAATCATTACAGAGAATGGCTCTTAATTATCATAAGTTTTATTTGCTAACACTTATAAGGACGTAGCATTTACGAAAGGCAGTCTTAATTTAACGAAGACGTTGAAATCCCAGTAACATCAACTTTTTTGTCAGGGGCCTACCTCGATTTATATTGATACATGTAGTACTCAGAGCATGCTCCTGAGTATCGAATAAGATTGGAGACATAAACACTAGGTAATAGCGGATGATAATTATTTAAATATGAAGGAAAGTTGACGATAAAGTTGGAACTTGATGGACTTTTTAACCATACCAAGAGACTTGAACGTAGTCATGAGCACCGGTCTAACAATAAACCTTTAATACACGATGTCTCTTTTGATTCGTTACTACCCTATGTATACCAACAGTTAGCTCTTCATCAAATTCGCACCAAACTTTACTCTGTCCCTTTGAACCTTTTGAATAGTCTTCTTGAAAAGGTCAAGGAAAGTCCTTTTTTTTTTATTCCTCGACGCCAGTATACAGACTCGGATCGGTGATTATGGATTTTGCAAATCAAAGGCTTTGTAAACTGCCACGTTTTACTGAAGAAACTGCGGATAAAACAATATTTTCCTTAAACATCATTATGCCAACAAAGAATATGACGGCGGTTAATATAAGTAATATTCTTAAATCACAAAAGGGTCCAAGCCCCAAGACCATAAACTGAGAATAGACTTAATTATGATATTGAATAGCTTGTGATTTATAATACATACGATATTAAAATTTTGTAGGTTTGAAGAATATTCTAATTTAAACATATCGTAAAAAAATTGTTTTGTTATCAAAATTATTTCAAAAGTTAATTTCAGTTAACTTCAGCTGGCGTCGTGATTTCATAAATATTATGGAATCTGTAGAAGATTACGCCAGGCGATGGGCCAGATATGAGAAAGAGGACCTTGACACTTTGTCAGAATGGATAAATATACCATTTACATGTTAAAATTGCGAATTAAGCGATTGAGGAGCAATATGAAAACCATCTATCCTTCGACTCTGTGTTCAATAATCCAGAAGTGAAAAAAATACATAGATAGATTACACAACAGTACGGACTGGTCTCTGCTGACGAAGCAGGTAACTACATTGTCTTTGTTTGCAAGAGCTCATTATATAAAATGTATATTAAAGGAACTTCGTACAATTCTCAGTCATCCTTAAATTTTCAGTAAGGCGTGGCAATCTCGGCGCTACGTAATTAGCGCCTCTCAAATGGCGAATAGATTCTTATTGGTTAAGAAATTAATAACATCGGGAACTTTAAAATTGTTGTTGACAACGATGAGACTACTTAAGCCCCAACTCTTTGCCGTACGAGACGCTGTTTTTGGCTATATGCTACACTCGTTGACATTCGCCCGAATTTCTATTCCATGTATATTTCAACAGTAAATGAAAGCTGTGTAAATTTCAGACGCTTATTATGTAACGTCGAGAATAACACACCTTACTGAAAGTCCAAGGATCACAAAGAATAGCTCCTTTCTAAGGAGGAAATTCTTCAAAATCATATCAGTTTTTAATATTCCAAACAACCAAAATGAATTTAGATTACCATATCTATATTGGATACCGAAATTTCATAAAAATCCCAACAAAGATATAGCGGGTTTTGGTAAATGTTCTACCAAGCCTCTTTCTTTACTCCTCACTAAAATATTAACAGTGGTGAAGGAGGAACTTCGAGTATTTTTTCCTAGAAAAGAATAGGGTTTTATTGATTTGATTAAGGTCAGACGAGACGTTCCTCAAAATCTGTTTTGTATATCTTCAAAATGTATGAAAAATATTCAAAATTTTAATAACATTCTGATTTCTAAACCAGTTTCTAAACATTTTTAAAAAATCCAAACACTTAAAAATTTGAAATTGGAAAATTATTTTTCTTTCCCAAAGGATTATAAAAGAAAAACTACCTCTGGTATCTTACAGAAAAGCCTGGTAAGGTACCTCAATTTTTTGTGAGTAAACATGTTTTAGTAGAAATACTTCAATGACAAACTCTTAGAAAAATTTATCTATTATTAAGGAACGTCAGTATATTGTGTCTTTACAGATTATCGTTAAGCCTTTGATTTACTAAATACAGTGTACAATTAAGGAGTTTTATATTAAACTTAAAAATTGTTAGTATTACGTAGTATCGATTGTAAAATTTTAATTAGAAATCTTATATAATAAAAATCAAGGTATACTGTGCATAATTATACTATGTATTCATTACTCCATCCTGTCTTTCTCCAATAGGGTTTTATTGATTATGTATTATTTTATAGATTATGTATTGTATATTTGACATAATTATATATTGCTTTGCAAACCTTAACTCTGGACAGAATGGACATTTCGGTGTGTTTATAAATTTTCTGGTGCCTCGATGTGTGAAAAGTGTTCACCGACCTATACAGATAGGCTGACAGCTTATGGACACAATAACCTTACATCGCTCCAATGTAAAAAAAAAAGTTCTCTTTTGATTGGATTTAGGTAATACGTTTGTTTTCATTGCACGTCAGATTATCTTTAAGCCCCCCCCCCCCCCACGCAAGTGATAATGGTAAAGAGCTACATAATTATGGGTAGTTGACAAGTTTAGTTGTCAGTTTGCCATCACAGTTTTCTCAAGTACAAGACCAAAATGTGAAACATCTCTATATATTCAACAGAACCTGGCCCTAGCACAAGAACCCCTGACCCTAGGGCCATGAATTTCACAATTTTGGTGAAAGGCTCAATGCTCATCATAATCATTCAAACAGTTTGACTGCTTTATGCCCAGGAGTGAAGAAGAAGATTTTTAAATATTGCATTAATTTTCGTGGTTTTGGTCTCATCCCTCAGGTCCTAAGGAGGCAGGGACCATGAAATTCAAAAATATTGTTCCCCTTCACCCATAGATGTTATAAACCAATATTGGTTGAAATTGGCTGAGCGGTTTCAGAGGAGAAGCTGAAAATGTTTAAATGTTAAGGCAAGACAAAACAGATAGCAAGATAGCGAGTGATTCAGGTGACCTAATAAGCTGGCTTCATATTTTAGCGGCTTTGGCACAGACAACGATGCACTTATTCATATTCAATTACTGCTTAAGGAACTGCTTACTTTGCAGGTGCTACTGAGTTTAAAATAACGTAATCTCTATCTTTTTGTTATCTATGCAACAACCCTACAATTTAACTACATGCAGACAGTAAGTAAACAAAAATCAAAAACATTGTGTCCTTTACAACTGTTTTTTTATGTAACAAAGTACACCAAAGATCTGCACAGTGCAATGACACAAATAAATAGATAAAACTGTCAAGTCTTTGGGGACAGATTTCCCCGCTGAGTCTGTTCTATTTTTAGCCTGGTCAGCTTGTAGGCCCTGGGTTCTGTTTGTCCTGATCGTCTCCCGATTTTTTGGTGATGTCGGGTTTCATGGCAGGGAATAGCAGCACCTCCTGCAAATTAGCGTAAATATCAATATAAACAGACAAAATATCTTCATGAATAGGTCCACAAATTAACCTCTAAAAGCAGTATTAAATTTGTACAAAAATCGCAATATTTTTAAAAGTTCGTATCAGTATCAAGCATTTAAGCACAATCAGATAAAAAAAACTTATCAATCTCCCTAGCACACAGGTGCAGGGTGTAAAAATTATTCTGAAGACAGGTGAGTTTTACCTAAAGGTCAATAAGTGAATGACAAAACTTTATCATGGATGGAGGGATAGACTGATCAGTTTAGGGCACCTACAGAGCGGGGCCCTAATAACTATGAACATACCTGTACATTAACTATCCTCATAGCCTAGATTGATCTCTGTACCCATTCTTTTATAACGGAACATTTCTTCAGGCATTTCTGCCAAAGTTTTATTATGCTACGTGATGGAGATATTTTAACTTAAATTTCTTTACAATTGAACTGCAGGAATTGTCTCAAGTTCACAATATCCTATACGAGTCTGTAGTTCATCTTTATGCTTTTAATACACCTTTAGACAGCAATACAACTTTATGCTGTTAATACACCTTTAGGTTTTTTTTAATGTACCTTTATGCTGTAAGAATCCGTGAGGAACATGGTCAGTCTGTCTATCCCCATCCCCCATCCTGCTGTGGGGGGCAGGCCATACTCCAGTGACGTACAGAAGTTATCATCTACAAACATTGCCTCGTCATCTCCTGCTGCTTTGTCCTGAAAGACCACACATATTATTGTAAAAAGCAGTTCAAGATATCTTGTATAAAGAATTTACAAATGTAAAAAGTAACTAATGTTATACATTGTAGATCCTATTATACACGGATTGTTATGTGGTTTTTCCCTTGTTTTTGTAGATTTGAATCCATGAAAATAACTGATTTTAGAACTGTGTACAGAGTAAAATATAGTATTGTACAGAGGATCCTTAAGGGGATATTAATGTGTCAAAGATTTTGTAAATGAGTCCAACAATTAAAACAATGTACCAATGATTCATTTCTTCTTAAACTGAGACCATTGTGACACAACAATGCAATACAATTTTAATAATACCTTAACTATCTATAATATCTATACCCTATATTACAATATTCCACACCTTTGCCTGTTGTTCAAATCTCTCCCGCTGAACCACTGGGTCATTTAACTCAGTGTAGGCATTACAAATCTCCTTCTTACACACAAACAGCTCAAATCTCTCTGTCAATCCAGGTATAGATCTATGCCTAGAAACATGAAAAAATAATAAATATAATCAAATCAGAAGTTTTCCTTTTCATTAGTGTAAAATAAAGCTGTATAACTACTGTCAGATTGTTAAATCTTTATAATCCATTGACTCACCATTTTGCCAAGGGACTCATGACTTGGGGATGATCAATGATGTATGTGGGGTTTACACATTCTTCTTCAATGAATTCTCCTACAAGCTTCAAAAGTTTACAAAAGGATTAGTGTATTATTTATCCTTAATGTATTACATGTACAGTATAAAAACGAATTTGTCCATGCGGTAGTCCTAGTGGTGCGTATGCCAACTAATAAGTGGCATAAAAATCAAAAACTGGGAACATTTATGAAATGGAGAATGATACCATTTAAGAGCAATAGTTACAGAATCTACCTAAGGGTTCAAAAACCTTAAAAGATTCTGTACAGTTTTGAACTCTGCAAATTATACACGATACAACATAATGTGTAATTGTAGTAGTGCAGCTTCAGATAAAGTGAGTTGTAATCATTACAGTCAGGCCCATATCCATAAACATCATCAGCTACACATACTAATACTTTAAGAAATCTTTTGGAGTTTTCCAAATCCAGTCTTATTTGAGACTGTCAAAATATTTCAAGTTAAAACATCCTACCATGATAGAAGGCTTTATTTTTTCTATTTACTGTCTTGTTCACTAAATCGTTCAGTACACATGTAAAAAACAGAGAATGGTGATACATACTTGACCAAAAGCTCTTCTGATGTAGAGCAAGCCGAACTGACATTTTAAAACTATGGAGATGCTTCAATCATTTTTCAAAAATTCTTTAACCTAAGACTTGTATGTGACATATCATTTATATTGTAATGACTATGAATTTACTTCGTTTCTTAACGAATTTCTATTTCTTTCGAATTAACATTACCTTGTCCAGGAGTCGAGCTGCTGTCCTGGGAGGTTTACATTCCACCTCATGCTTGATACAAAGGTCATCCAAAAATTTACGAGTGCCTACAAAAGTCATCCAAAAATTTACTAGCGCCTAATAGAACCAGAAGTCTCTGTCGAGACTGAAGCTCTACTGGTTTGAACTTATAGCAAAGGAAGAGAAAGTACTTAAGGTCAAGATCTAGTAAATAACTTTAGACTAACTTTTTGGTGCTAGATCCATTATGACGTCATAATCACTTTCAACTTTCTTTTTCCCGTACTTTACGGCTCTAATAGAATTATGTAGAAAATAAAGTATTTTCATGGAATTCAATTTGAAATAACCTGAAAAGTAGTCCGGATACCTATATTCAATTTAACATTATTTAAAAGAAGAGACCAAGAACATACAAATTACCGTTTTCTGAAAGACTGTAGGCAATCTGGATATATTTTGTTTGTGTGATATGGAAAAAACTCCCATATTCATGACTAATTTTCTTAATTTTTCATTGAAAATGACAGTTTAAAATATGGTTTTTCATCTTATTTTCCTACAAATTATGCCCCGAAACACATTTTTTGACCAAGCTAAAGTTATTAAGCATCATTAAAGGAATTCATTTCTTGAATTTGATAAATCTGTAGGCACCCTTCATTTACTAGATCTTGACCTTAAGCAGCTGGGATTTGAAACTTTATAAACAGCATTAAATAGAATAATGATCGTTGATAAAGTCTCTTTATGTTCTTAGTGTAGTCTACTTGTGTGCCAAGTTATACTGAAATCAGACCAAAACTGTAGGAGGAGTAGCATTTTGAAACAATTTTACAGACATTTCTATTTTTAGTAACCACGGCAACACCGTTCATCAAAATTAAAATTCGATACACAGAATTATGTATCTTAGTGTAGTCTACTTGTGTGCCAAGTTATATTGAAATCAGACCAAAACTATAGGAGGAGTAGCATTTTGAAACAATTTTACAGATATTTCTATTTTTAGTAACCACGACAACATCATTCATCATATCAAAAACCGATATACAGAATTATGTATCTTGGTGTATTCTACTTGTTTGCCAAGTTATACTGAAATCAGACCAAAACTGTAGGAGGAGTAGCATTTTGAAACAATTTCACAGAAATTTCTATTTTTAGTAACCACTGCAACACCGTTCATCGAAATCAAAAACCGATGCACAAAGTTATGTATCTTAGTGTAGTCTACTTGTGTGCCAAGTTATGCTGAAATCAGACCAAAACTGTAGGAGGAGTAGCATTTTGAAACAATTTTACAGAAATTTCTATTTTTAGTAACCACGGCAACATCGTTCATCGAAATCAAAAACCAATACACTGAATTATGTATCTTAGTGTAGTCTACTTGTGTGCCAAGTTATACTGAAATCAGACCAAAACTGTAGGAGGAGTAGCATTTTGAAAGAATTTCACAGAAATTTCTATTTTTAGTAACCACAGCAACACCGTTCATCGAAATCAAAAACCGTTACACAGAATTATGTATCTTAGTGTATTTTACTTGTTTGCCAACTTATACTGAAATCAGATCAAAACTGTAGGAGGAGAAGCATTTTGAAAGAATTTCACAGAAATTTCTATTTATAGTAACCTGGGCAACACCGTTCATCGAAATCAAAAACAGATATATGGAATTATGTATCTTAGTGTAGTCTACTTGTGTGCCAAGTTATACTGAAATCAGACCAAAATTGTAGGAGGAGTAGCATTTTGAAAGAATTTCACAGAAATTTCTATTTTTAGTAACCATGGCAACACCGTTCATCGAAATCAAAAACCGATACACAGAATTATGTATCTTAGTGTAGTCTACTTGTGTGCCAAGTTATACTGAAATCAGACCAAAACTGTACGAGGAGTAGCATTTTGAAAGAATTTCACAGAAATTTCTATTTTTAGTAACCACGGCAACACCGTTCATCGAAATCAAAAACCGATGCACAAAGTTATGTATCTTAGTGTAGTCTACTTGTGTGCCAAGTTATACTGAAATCAGACCAAAACTGTAAGAGGAGTAGCATTTTGAAACAATTTTACAGAAATTTTTATTTTTAGTAACCATGGTAACACCATTCATCGAAATCAAAAACCGATAAACAGAATTATGTATCTTAGTGTAGTCTACTTGTGTGCCAAGTTATATTGAAATCAGACCAAAACTGTAGGAGGAGTAGCATTTTGAAAGAATTTCACAGAAATTTCTATTTTTAGTAACCACGGCAACACCGTTCATCGAAATCAAAAACCGATACACAGAACTAAGTATCTTAGTGTAGTCTACTTGTGTGCCAAGTTATACTGAAATCAGACCAAAACTGTAGGAGGAGTAGCATTTTGAAAGAATTTCACAGAAATTTCTATTTTTAGTAACCACGGCAACACCGTTCATCGAAATCAAAAACCGATAAACAGAATTATGTATCTTAGTGTAGTCTACTTGTGTGCCAAGTTATACTGAAATCAGACCAAAACTGTAGGAGGAGTAGCATTTTGAAAGAATTTCACAGAAATTTCTATTTTTAGTAACCACGGCAACACCATTCATCGAAATCAAAAACCGATACACAGAATTATGTATCTTAGTGTAGTCTACTTGTGTGCCAAGTTATACTGAAATCAGACCAAAACTGTAGGAGGAGTAGCATTTTGAAACAATTTCACAGAAATTTCTATTTTTAGTAACCACGGCAACAACGTTCATCGAAATCAAAAACCGATACACAGAATTATGTATCTTAGTGTAGTCTACTTATGTGCCAAGTTATACTGAAATCAGACCAAAATTGTAGGAGGAGTAGCATTTTGAAAGAATTTCACAGAAATTTCTATTTTTAGTAACCACGGCAACACCATTCATCGAAATCAAAAACCGATACACAGAATTATGAATCTTAGTGTAGTCTACTTGTGTGCCAAGTTATACTGAAATCAGACCAAAACTGTACGAGGAGTAGCATTTTGAAAGAATTTCACAGAAATTTCTATTTTTAGTAACCACGGCAACACCGTTCATCGAAATCAAAAACCGATATACAGAATTATGTATCTTAGTGTAGTCTACTTGTGTGCCAAGTTATATTGAAATTAGACCAAAACTGTAGGAGGAGTAGCATTTTGAAAAATTGTTTACAGACAGACGGACAGACAGACAGACGGACAGACGGACGGACGCCGGACGCATTACTATCGCATAAGCTCTTCTGGTCTCTGACCAGTAGAGCTAATAAAATGAAGATTATTTAATTTGCTATCAAAAACACTTCGGATGATAGTCACTAATCATATATACTGAAAGGAAAAAGAGTGTAAACTTTTGAGGTGAATTAAATTCATTTTTCTTTTAATATTTTTCAGCATTCCTATCTATCTTTTAAAACCATCTTTCAAAAAGATATAACCAAAATCCCATTTGATTTTGTTTAATAATTAATGAGTTATTGACGTTCATATGACGATACCCCCCAAAAGTGAAAAACGAAAACTCGCATTGTCTTTATGCCTCTCCTGCATATCTGACATGGCCGTTATTTTTCCTTTGTATGGAATTCATCAGAGTGTTTATCTTTCAATCCCTGGGTATAATGGGCATGGATAACCACGCCAAAAAATTAGTCATACGACGCGCGCATGCGCCAGTGAGAGGAACACATCAGTAAGTTGACTGGTGCAAAAGCCCAAATTGCGGAATAGTTTTCTTTCTTTTTTTGTGTGAACGTAATGATTATGATAGTCTACTGTATAAAAGGTGGTTTTGTTGGTAGTAAGGTGGCGATTTAAGAGATGACAGGACGAATAACCCGCTCGTAGCATGACTCTGTTTCGCGTTAACGTTATCGTCACGGTTGAATGAAAACAGTTCCAGGCCCTCTCTGACAATGGGTAACACGCTTTATGGGGGAAAATTAACAAGAAACTGCTTAGTTACCCGTTGTTGCCTATTTCATTAAATAGGCAATACGAAAATCAGACCCCATGGAACTTCCGTAAACTGCACCAAGATTGCAAGAAATTCCTATCGTCTTTAAATGTTGAAAAACAATGTGTATATCTCAGGTGCATTAAATGGTGCAAAAAGATTTGTTGACAAACTCGTCGTCAAATTGCACGTGTTTTGGACTTTTAAGCGTTTTCCCTATGTGACGTCATAATTTTTACGGTTCAGTAATTCTGAACAATAATTTCTGTGCATAGTAACTAAATTTCTCATCTGACCAATTTTCGTAATTTTCGGTCGAGCGGTCAAAAATATTTCGAATATTATGCTACCCTGCGTTTCTTTTTCCTTTCAGTATATATGTATGCAGTTATTTTAGCAGCATTCATATTTTATCGTCTTTGGTGCTGCTTCAGGTTCACTTATTCAATAATACATATACATGTTCATACTTTGACTTTAACTAATACTGGTCATTTTGAAAATATAAGTGTGCTAATTTATGGTTGTTGCTAATCAAATGGAAAGAAAGACTGCACAAAATTTTTAATGCATTATTTAAGTACATTTAAAGTAATTGATCAGATTCATTTCCTTCAGAAAAAGAACAATCTCTCCCCCTACTAAGAATTGTTTAATGCATCTTAATTTACCTTCAGATTCAAATTCCTTGGTGTCTGGGAATTTGACCCCTAAGCGGTCCTCTAGACCCTTCAGCATACTGATGCGTTTGAAGGGCGGGGTAAAGTCTACCACCCACTCCTCTCCCTCTGGCTCTTTGGGGTGATACGTCACCTTGTACCCCCCTGTGATATGTTTTACCATTCCTATAAAAGATTGAGTACATTTATTGTTGTGTACACAGACGAGAGTTCTAGACTTTTCATTTTATTTATTGTAGTGTAGCTTCAGAAAAGGGTAGGCTGTAATCATTAGAATCAGGCCCATATCCTTAAACATCATCAGCTACTCTTTCTAAAACCTTTTGAGTCGTATGACTTGAAGATGAACTGTTAACATTTTCAATATAAACATTGATGGTTTGTGACATACATTACAAGGTTCTATAGAGATAGTCACTACAAATAATGTTTTGCTGTTATTAACGTAATTTTGCATAAAATGTCTGTTAAACATACCTTTCATTTTATAGTGAAAACATTTATATATACTACATATCCTTGTTCATTTTCAGGAACTTTTTTCATAATTCCAGAAAATAATATCAATAGTTGTTTACTGACCTGAAACAAGGGATTCTGTGATCTTCATCAGATCGTCGTAATCAGCATACGCCATATAAAATTCACAGGTCGTGAACTCTGGATTGTGGGTCAAGTCAATTCCTTCATTTCTGAACTGTCGTCCAATCTCATAAACTCTGTCAATACCACCAACTACCAACATCTAAAGGAAAGGAAAAATATCATCACACACAAATTTAGGAACAACTACCAAAAACAATAGACATATCAAATTTTCTTCCATAAAATGTTTATTTTTTTCCATCATATAAACCCCCGATATCTTAACTTTATGTTTATGGTACGGATGTGAATTTAAAATGCTTTTTTCGAGTTAAACTAAATAAATATCGAAGGCATGGTGCCTGAAGATTTGTTGAATATCAATAGGTAATCAGGGTCACGCATTTTTCATCGTCTGAATACATAGTCAGCGCATTTTCAGTGGCACTAATTTGAAATAAATATTATAGTTGCATATTGAACAAAATAATGTCATATTAAAAGGAGAACTTTGAGCCGACAAATGTGTGCTCACACTTAATTTAACAAAAAACATGTTTAAACATTGTGATTCCATTGTTAAGGGTTTAGCCTGTTAAATATTACAATTCATCAGAGTGATGTCCACCTACACACAAATTGTACTTTTTAAATCATGTTGGCAATGTATTCTTCAACAAAAAGTGACATCAAGGCAATTTTAAATCACTTTTTTTTTGTGCCGTTTTCAAAAAAATTTAGCACATTAAATGTTGTATATACTAATTTTGCGTGTCCTCACATTTAAAAAAAAATTATCTTTAGACATCGCTGAAGATTCCAAAAATGTCAATTAATTTCTAGAGAGAGAGAGATGGAGAGAGAAAAATGTCACCTCCAACGACACCGATCGATAGCCCCGCATTTTCTCACATAGTTGATAGTGCGACCTAAAAACCATTTTTGGTACATGTCATTAATGATAAGACACTAATGTATCCTTGTTTGAATTTTGATTCATGGCAATAAGGCATTCCTTTTGTACATATGTTCATATTAAAATAACCATGTTATACGTCGCTCTTATGCAAGTGGTTGTAATATATTTTGGTTACACTTTATTTTTAACTTGTTAATACTCAAAGTGATCCAAAATTGCCTTGTCCACCCATTCTTTAGGAACACCAAAAACAATAGACATTTCAAATTTTCTGTTTGGTAAGAATCCATATATGTCTTGGATTTTGACAATTCAAACAGGGAACAGTTATGAAATTTAGTGATAAATTTTCAATTAATCTGTTGAGAATCTCTCGATATATTTTGTTTGTACTTATAGCAAAGGAAGAGAAAAGTACTTAAGCAGTTGGAAATTGAAACTTTTCACAAATCTTAAAATGACACACAACTATAATGAAGCTTTTTAACAGTCTCTTTATATTCTTAGTGCAGTCTACTTTATAAAACATGCCACATTTATATTATAATCAGACTAAAATTGTATTTGGAGTAGCATTTTGAAAGAATTTCACAGAAATTTCTATTTTTATTAACCACGGCAACACCGTTCATCGAAATCAAAAACCGATACACAGAATTATGTATGTTATTGTTGTCTAAGTGTGGGACAAGTTATATTGAAATCAGACTAAAACTGTAGGAGGAGTAGCATTTTGAAAGAATTTCACAGAAATTTCTATTTTTAGTAACCACGGCAACACCGTTCATCGAAATCAAAAACTGATAAACAGAATTGTGTATCTTAGTAATGGTTTCTTGTATGCCGAGTTATATTGAAATCAGACTAAAACTGTAGGATTAGCATTTTGAAAGAATTTCAGAGAAATTTCTATTTTTAGTAACCACGGCAACACCGTTCATCGAAATCACAAACTATACACAGAATTATGTATCTTCTTGTAGTCTACTTGTGTGCCAAGTTATATTGAAATCCCCTAAAACTGTAGGAGGAGTAGCATTTTGAATGAATTTCACAGAAATTCTCTTTTTTAGTAACCACGGCAACACCGTTCACGAAATCAAAAATCCGATACACTTATGTATCTTATTGTAGTCTACTTGTGTGCCAAGTTATCTTGAAATCAGATTAAAACTGTAAAAGGAGTAGCATTTTGAAAGAATTTCACAGAAATTTCTATTTTTAGTAACCACGGAACACCGTTCATCGAAATCAAAAACTGATGCACAGAATTGTGTATCTTATTGTAGTCTACTTGTGTGCCAAGTTATATTGAAATCAGACTAAAACTGTAGAAGGAGTAGCATTTTGAAAGAATTTCACAGAAATTTATATTTTTAGTAACCACGGCAACACCGTTCATCGAAATCAAAAACCGATAAACAGAATTGTGTATCTTAGTGTAGTCTACTTGTGTGCCAAGTTATATTGAAATCAGTTTAAACTGTAGGAGGAGTAGCATTTTGAAAGAATTTCACAGAAATTTCTATTTTTAGTAACCATGGCAACACCGTTCATCCCCTCAAAAACCGATACACAGAATTATGTATCTTATTGTAGTCTACTTGTGTGCCAAGTTATATTGAAATCAGACCAAAACTGTAGGAGGAGTAGCATTTTGAAAAATTGTTTACAGACAGACGGACAGACAGACAGACGGACAGACGACAGACACATTACTATTGCATAAGCTCTTCTGGTCTCTGACCAGTAGAGCTAAAAAATAGGTTTTCGAACTAATTGTTTTCATTTGCCATGAGAACTCAAAATAAGAGAAAGAAAACGAATTGCCTGATCCAGAAGGCAATGTCTTTAAGATGTGCATAAAATTTATCACAACCCCAGTGAACAATGTTAAATAACTTCATCACTTACTTCCAGTGGCACTAATTTGAAATAAATATTACATCTACTTCAATATTAAAGAAGGATATAATCGAAATACTGAGAGTTTGAGAGACTAACTTTGAGGTAGAGTTCTGGGGCTACTCGCATGTAGAGGTCCATGTTTAGTTCATTGTGGTGGGTGATGAAGGGTTTAGCCGTGGCCCCTCCTGGAATCATGTTCATCAGAGGGGTCTCCACCTAAACACAAATCAAGAACATTTTTAACATCATGTTGGCAATGTTTTGTGCAGCAACAAAAAGTGAAATCAAAGCCATTTTAAAGTTGAAAACATTTTTTTGCAAGTGTAAAAAAAAAATTTCATTGCACAGTATCTTATTCAAAGAATATATATTTCAGATAATATTATTTTATATACTGATTTGTAATCAACAAAATGATGTTTAAAGTAAAGAGATAAAAATGTCAATCAATTTTCTCATTCAAAAAATATCAAGACCAAAGAAAGATAACTCACCTCCAAAAATCCCATTTCATCCAAGAATTTTCTCACATAGTTGATAATTTTTGCTCTAACAATGAATTTTTGTCGCACTGGCTCATTAATGATAAGATCTAGATACCTCTGGCGAAATCTGGTTTCCTACAACAATTCGCATTTCACTTGTAAACTAAAATCATATTAAACTCTATACACAGTTTTATTGAAAGTTTTATGCAAAATCTTTTTTTTTTGGTTACAAGGTGATTCTTTCTATAATTTAATACTGGAAGTGTAGCCATAACTTGCCTTGTCCCTGACTCCATAGTATAAATGGGGAAGCTGGTGGAGACAGGGGGACAGCAGAACAATTTCTGTCGGAATTATACTAAGTTCTCCTTTCTTTGTTTTACCTGTTAAATATATGCAACATATGTCATATTTATCACCTAGTATTCTCAATTAATCTGTTGAGAATCTTTAGATATATTTTGTTCTATTTATCAAATATTTCCTGTTTTTCTCAAAAGTTTTCAACATTAAATGTAAGTATTATACTCACAAATCTTAAAATGACACACAACTATAATGAAGCTTTTTAACAGCTCTATTTACACAAGGTTTGATTTAATACAGCAGTGTAGTTCCCATTTATAAAACTATGGAAACATACATATGTAAGCTGATCAAAACCCAGAATTTCATCTTTTAATAGCCTTACTAGTTTTCCCTTCACACCCACTATATCCCCTCTCTTTACTTTATCCTTAACTGGTTTTCCCCTCACACCCACTATATTCTTTCTCTTTACTTCATCCTTAACTGGTTTTCCCTTCACACCCATTATATCCCCTCTCTTTACTTTATCCTTAACTGGTTTTCCCCTCACACCCACTATATCCCCTCTCTTTACTTTATCCTTACCTGGTTTTCCCCTCACACCCACTATATCCCCTCTCTTTACTTTATCATTGGCTTCAAAGAATTCCTCCTCTGTTGGGTAATATCTACAAACACACAAAAATCAGAATGTTCACATAACAAGAAATACATTGTCATTCATGTGTCTTTTTTTTTAATTTCAGATATCTGTCAGAGAAATTATTTTTACAAGAGGTTTATTAGGGCACTGCTTGAAAATTGGAGCCATATAGGAATCACAATGTGGTGTCATATTACTTTGTCTGTCTGTATATCCTTGTTAAGCAATATATCAATTTTCATTACGACTATTTCAAACGTTGGCCTTGAGAGGAAGACACCTACAGATTTTGAGGTCTGTCTGCATGTCCTTCTGTCTGTCAGTGTTTTTATTGTGACACAATAGTTTTCAACTCAATGTTTTTCAAAGTTGCATGCCTATTTATGATAAGAGAAAGACAAATAAATTTTGGAGAAATATCACTCCCCTTTCTACTTGTTTTTACAAATATATCTCTTATGTTATATTATGTCCAATAGTTTTTATTGTAAGAAGTTTTAAGTATGTCTGTCTGTCTGTTTCATTATTTATAAATCTCCCAACATACAATTACTGTTCCACATCCCTTCTTTATTTGCTGTATTTTGTTCTTAACATTACTGTACTTATTGTAGTACACTTGTAACTTTCCTTCGACAGACCCGTATCAAGGCTCTCTTTGATCGTGTCAATTTTTTTTCAGTTCCTTCAAAATATGACTTAATCTTCATCTCACTTACTTGGCGTTGGCCATAATTTGAATTTTGACCCCCTCCCCTCTGAGGTCGTAAAATAAAAGCTTGGGGCCGGACTCTCTCTTGGCATGTATTCTGCCTGTAATGGAAAGAAACATCACTGATAGAAAGGACAAGGTACAATACAGGCCAAATGTGACCCTTTATCTGAAGGAAGACCAGAAATTAAATCACAGTTCAATTTATTATTGTTTGCAATTCTAAACCAAAAATCGCACTTAAATTTAGTTCAGTATTGATTTTGATTAAACCCATGAACAATGGACAAAAGAAGATGGGCATTTTTTAAATTTCTTCATGTTTCTTATCAATTTTCATGATTTTTTTTTTTTTTTTTTTTTGGAAAAATACAGAGCTCAATAGTCTACCTTAATTTTCATACAAGAGATATACAGCAAAACTTCTTTAGTACGAAGCAGATATTGCGAATTTACGGATATAGCGAAGTCATCTTGGATCCCCAGCTATATATATAAATTTAATGAATTTCATATATGGTTATAACGAAATACGGATATAGCGAAGTAATTTCATAGGTCCCAGTGACTTCATTATAAACGAGTTTTGCTGTACATAATTTAATATCGTGCAAAACAATGTTAATCTGGCAGACAAAAAAGCTCTCACTCAGACAGTTTGAAGCCAAAAAATTTATTAAGGCCTCCTAAAAGTAGCAAACAAGTCCTCTTTGATAAACTAGCGCAGAACTAATTTATCACAAAGCTATACACACCTGCGACGCTGACTTCTTCCTCCATCACAGTCCCTGCTTCACAATCATTGTATCTGTGTATGAACTCCGTCAATGATACTTCCACATTGAATTTGTGAGGGTATGGGTTGTTCCCCTTAGATTTCAGGTCTGCTACAGCCTTGGATCTCAGAGCAAAATATTCCTACAATTATTAACAGATTTTAATGCATGAGACATCTTTCTGACTCTTCAAAGTGTGAATGCCCATAAAATCCCCTACCAGATCACCAATCTCCTCCTCATCTTGTGGCTTGGTCTTGTCAGAATCAGCTTTGGCTTTGGTTGGAGGTGGGGGCTGGTTAGCTAGCTTCTCTGCCTTCTCTTTAGCCTTCTTCTCGGCTTTTAGCCTCCTCTTCTGCTCACTAAAAGTGAAAGTATTTTTTGAACTACATACATTCATTTTTTTTAACATTTATAATATTGATGTTAATGTATTCATTATTATGTGAAATGAAAGGCCTTCAGATTCATTTTGTGTCACTACTGATGACATTTTAACCAGAACATTTATACACTCATGTAAATGTAAGTACACACTACAAAAGTGGTGTCTGAATGTATAGATTTTTTTTGTTTTGTTTTAAAGAATGTTGACAATATCTAACTTGCTAGTAAGAATAAATATAAATTTCAAGTCCTGTTCATGATGCTCTTTCAATCATCATAATACCTTAAGTTAGTTAATAGTCCAACACAAATCATACATTGTGTATTTCAGTTCTTCTTACCTTTTTAGTGAAAGGACTCAGAATATTTTTTTTTTTTTTTTTTTTTTTTTACAATTTATATATCTTTTCAATACCTATTAAACAGAGAGATAACCTAGTTCTATTCAACACCAACACAACAGAGGAACACAGATTTACATGCTCAAAGTGAAGATGGGCTATTGGATTACCTTGAGAGATGCAAGCCTATAGAAGTGTGAAAATATTTGGTAGAATCTCTGCTGAACAGAGTTCTGCTGTCCATGGAGTGGAATTTGTACACCCTCTCTGAGGCCCTCAAGGTCCGAAGGACACAAAATGAAATCTTTTGAAGACCATTCATTTTTCAATATGCCTACTTGACTTTTAAACATCTAGGATCTCATTTTCTTATCCTATTCAAAATATACAAAATTAAAGTTAAAAAAATCTAAGGACTACATTGATTTTTTTTCCCAAAAAGAGTAAAATGCTACAGTATCTGTCCATTTTATTTTTCAATATATACATTTTTCTACAACATTATTGCAGTGTTATTTGTTGCTCATTTTGTCATGACTAAAACACCATAAAATGCAGAATTCTTTGCAGTTTCTTCACATTATTTCAAAACAATTTTATCTGTTGGCATTGTGCAGGTCAAGTGTGAAATAAAAGCTTTGAGGCTCTAATGTGTACAGATGTCAGAGACAGATAGTTGATGTTAGAATTTTTTGTCTTGACAATTTCATAATTTACTCTCCATCATTTGTACATCATTTTGTTTAGCATTTTAAGACTAGAAAATGAACAATAGTCACGTTTCGAGTTCATCCGGAACGTTCGTTTTTATTTGCGTTTTATCGCACCGATCACGTGATTTACAGAAAATGTTCAGCAGAGGTACTTCCGGTAAAAATTGTTTACAATAGTTACTCAATGTCGTCTGAAACAAAATCCTATTTTTGTGTTGCGGAGGGATGTAATTCTGATGAAAGAAAAAGAGGAAGATATGGTTACATGAAAGATGTAAGATTTTACCCCTTTCCAACCCAGAAAAAAAGCGCCTGCACTAAGAAAACGCTGGCTGGACCTCTTGAGAAGAGAAAATTACGAGCCAAAGAGAAACCACAGAGTATGCTCTCTTCATTTTAAGGAAGGCAGACCAACAGAAAATCATCCGTACCCAGAGCTCTTTGCATATAATAATTTTAAGGAAAGTCTGAAGGTTTGTTGTGGTTTTGATTGTCAAATATCAAAAAGTTGGCATCATGATTTCATGGATGCATCGAGTGTCTTGTGTTAATATCAGGATATATAGTGTAGAAACATGCATCAAAATATATGGAAAATGCTATTTGTTTATGATAAATTGTAGGACATTTAAACACAAAATTGAGAACTGTTTGAGCTTTTAAATAAGGTATTGAGTATTACAATTTAGAGACACACATGCTAGTCTTGAGTTCTTATAATTTGTTATCTTTAGACTCGTCCAACAACATCAATATCTAAGAGGGAACAGTATATACCTGCAGTACAAGACACTCAGTCTGAAATCTCAATTCAACCCCCAGTTGACTCCTTGGTTGCCAGTGAAAGTGTACTTGTATGTAAGATTATTTGCATATATAAACTTGTGCTCCAGTAAATTTCATTGTAGATCAATAAAAACACTAGTATTACTGATTATTTAAAATGTATTTTTGAAAGCTTGATTTATTTATTTTTTAATTTAAGTATTAATATTTTTCAGCAACCACAGATTAACAATGATAATTTTGTTGCTGGAGAACTGAATGGAAGTTGGCCTGTAACGCACGAAATAGAAGTGGCTGATCATGAGTGCCCAACAGTTGATTCTTTTCCTGTCACAGGTGAAAAATTTTGATTTAAAAAAAAAATACATTTTCTTTTAGATTCTGGCAACTTAGATTGAGGTAAGCTTACTGCACCAAAACTTACATTGAAAATATATACTGTAGGTACTCATGTAGAGATGGACCACTGTTATATCAGTGGCAGTGTTTGCAGTAATGACGTGTCAACCAGAGATATAGGAATCCAAACATCACTCACTGCTGCAGATATCAAGGTTTTGGAGGAGAAATCAACCAAACTAGAGGATCCCGAGAAACTCATGAGAGAACTCTTTGTCGACAAAGTCGTGAAAGATGACAGAAATGTTAAAATGTATACGGGACTACCATCTAAGAGGATCCTAAACGGTGTATATGGTATGGACTGGTGCACAATAAATTCAGTGATATTATAAATGTTAATACATGTACATAATATTTAGTTTTTTTAACAACATGAATAAAGTTAATATATCACAAAAGTTAATTAAAGTCTAATTTACTATAATAAGGCAACATTTTCTTATAAATATTTTTTCTCTCTGTTAAGATATCTTGGAAAAGGCTTCACCAACATTGAAGTATTGGTCAGGACAAGGAAGTGCTACAAAGAAAATATATCAGCAAGACAGTCTAAATGCAAAGTCAGGCCCAAAAAGGAAGCTCAGCAGGTTTCAGGAGTTTGTTTTAACTCTGGTCAGATTGCGACTCGCTTTGACTACATTTGTCATGGCAGATTTATTTGGCGTATCCACCTCCAGAGTTTCTCAAGTCTTCACCACCTGGGTCAATTTCATGGCTACAATCTTTAAACCTTTATTAAAATGGCCTTCCAGAAATGTAATTAAAAAATTCATGCCTTCATCTTTCAGAGCTAAGTTTCCAAATGTAAACTGTATTATTGACTGCACTGAATTTTTTATAAGAAAACCAAGAAATCCAACTGCTCAGTCTCAGACATTTAGCTCCTATAAACAACATAATACTTATAAAGCATTGGTTGGTGTGACACCTTCTGGTGCATTTTCATTCATATCAAATTTGTGGGGAGGCAATGTTTCCGATAGGTACATCACTAAGGAAAGTGGATTCCTGGACAGCGTACAACCTGGAGATGAGATAATGGCAGACAGGGGATTTTTGATCAGGGATCTTTTGCTTCAACACAGAGCTAAACTTATGATACCCCCATTCACAAGGAAGTGTTCCTGGGGTAAAGGTAAGTATCTGTCTGCCTCTGAAATACTAAATACAAGGAACATTGCAAAATTCCGCATCCATGTAGAGAGGGCTATAGGAAGATTAAAAACATTTCAGATGATGTCCAATACCATGCCAACAAATTTAAAACCCCTTGCTGATCAAATGCTTGTCATATGTGCATTTCTTTGTAATCTTCAAAAGCCTTTGGTTAAAAAGTAAGGAATTGATGTTCCATGCTGGAATGTTTTTACTTATAGATGACATCTGTGTTCAGAAATAGTTTTTATTGTGTTCACTTCTGATATAAAATTTATGTATTACAACAAGTAATATAATTTCTTGAATGAAAATCAAATAAAATGTAACAAAAATTGTACATGTCTCATTTTTTAAACTTGAGTTGAAAACTTAAGTGTTAGGCATTAAAACCACATTTCTGCTGTGATATAATTATTTTTACAATTGTCTTAGTGCTCTAAAGAGGTATTTCTCAAAAAACATTTCAGATTTTTCAACAATCCTCTGAAAGATGAGTTCATCAAAATATATACGATCAACAATAAAGCCCTTTTTTGTGTAAAATACAAAATCACACCACTGTTTTTTGCACACACCTAGCTGGCCTTGAATTTGTATGTACCATGGAGAATCAAATTTCAGTTTTATATTTTCATTTTCATCCAAGACAATATGATAATGGTCATCAATACAAGCATCTTTGGGCATTTTATTTTGATACAAGAAGGAACATTTTATCTCAAGTAATCCTTCACCACAACATTTGCACTTAATAACACCATCTGGAGAAGCCCCTAAAAATGGATAATCTGAGTCTACATATAAGCCACATAACTTAATCTCTGCATGTTTGTGCTGCTTTTTATATTGTTCAAAATATAACTGTCTAGCGACAGGTTCGTGTAGCTTGCCAAATGCCAAAGAGGGTACAGATACTTTAGAAGTTTTCCCCATAATCATTTTTGAAATATAGTTTTCCTCATTTTCAGTAAACCTAAAATGCAACACTGATGAAAAATGTGAAGCAGTAATTCTACCAATTCTTTGTTCATACCATTTTTGATTTTCATCCTGCCCTTTAGTTTGGTCTTCAATTTCGGTAATTATTTTCTTATCAAAAATATTCTTCAATTTTTCATTTACAGAAAAAATGTCATAAGGGGGTAGCATATTTTTGCAGGCATCTGACATTGATGGAAGTACATTATCATCATCATCATCACTTACAAAAGACTCATCATACAAAGTTTGTAACAGAAGCGCCCCTGTGCCTCTGCACAATTCATAGAAGTCCCTCTCATGGTTGGCCACTGGACCTTGAATGGGAACGACTGGGTTGTAAGATTCAGTAGTTGCGGATGTTGGTTGGGGATGCGTCTGGTCCACCCTCATATCTATGTCAGAGATCTTCTGGGGATTGGATTTCTTTCTAGGTTTATCCCAGACACATTGCATGTCGGTGCCTACTTCTGTTCCTCGGTCTCTGTGTCGCTCAAAAAAACTTGATAGGGAAAATAGAAAAGCAACACAGTGCTTGCAAGTTCCATTGTCCCTGAAAAAAATACATTTAAGAATTGAATTATTTTTTATTTCTAATTCTTACTAATACATGTACAGTGGAGCCTCATTTGTCTGGACGCTTTGGTTCCTAGTCAATTTGTCCGGATATGTTAAGTGTCTGAATACGTGAATTATCAATTAAAGAAGACAAGATATCCGAAGGTCCACTGTAATATGAACCTGGATTACTGTATACAGGGTTATTTTCGCCCTTTTCGCCCCGTTTTAAATTTGCCCCGTTTCATTTCTTACTTTTTTTTTAATTGGCCACGTTTTAAATTTGCCCCTCTGTGAGTAGGGCAAATGGGGTGAAAATAAAATGCGGGCAAATATTTCACTGTATATAGTATTCAATATTAAGAATGTGACTACACATTTCTGCATATACTGTATCAGTTTTATGAGATAATGCTTTCATGAAAACAGAGAACACCATGACTGAAAAGCAATGTCTTCCCTTAACAATTGAATTAGCAGGGAACATTAAAAAAAAGATAGAAGGGTGTCTGGGCTTCCTACTCTGGAAGGAAGTGTAAATGGGAATCCAGAATAATTTGGGTATTATGTCACTACATGCAGGGAAATTCCGCAGGGGCTTAGAGGCAACTCTATAACATAAGGTTACCTTAATCTGAAATATACTTACGCCACACAAGTGCATCCACCTGACAAAATTTCACCAGTTGTCTTGTTTGCCAAGATCCAGACATCATAAGGCTGGGCATTTTGTCTGGTCTCAGGCATGCAAGTTGCCGTCAAGTAAATATATTCCTGGTGGACATGATAGGCAGCTTTGACATCGTCGATATGGCAAGCCATGTGTAAGCGATAACCATTATCCTGCTTATAAAGTCTTAGTCGTTCGTGAGTCCACCCGCACCATCTCATAAAGTATACCAGCACATCACACGATTCAAAGTCTGGTATACTGGCCAAATCCTTACTCCTGCAAATTTTTTAAAAGTAGTATATACTATATAGATAGTAATTAAATTTCCACTGCTATGAAAATGTTCTTAATAGGCATCTATCATGTGGGCTCAGTTCACTTTGTGAAAACTAAAGTGGGTTTGAGTGTGTGTTAACCCCTTACTGTTTGGTTTGATGTATAAATACTGAAAAGCTTAGTCAACATGGTCAATAGAAACAATTTTATAAAAGTTTGAAAATTAAAGTCTTACCAATCGGTCACAGCATTTACAGGGTCTAAAATAATTTTGTTGTCCCCCACTGTCACCGTCCTGCGCCTTTCATCAAACACAGCGTACTCTTCTTCGTCATTTGTAGATGTCAAAACCTAAAGCCATCATTACACAGAATGATTATGTGTTTAACCCGTGTTAGATGTTTATACTAAACCACAAAATCATCCAGAAATAATATAAATTTGAATTATTTAAAAAATGTATGATATGTACTTTTATTTTTGTCGTTCTGACTACGAATGGGGAAAATTTTTATAGGCTTAATCAGGGTTAATGCTTCAGTGAAAAAAAGATTACCTCAAGACGAAGTTCCTCTGCAAGCTCACATAAGCGCACAAGATCTATTTTCCTGCCTATGCTGCAGCTTATACCCCTATCTTGCAGATACTTCTTTAGATCTGGTACTTGAAAGCCGTAAAAATGAATCCGTTCTGCCATAGTTATGAGACGCTGTAAAACCGGAAGTTGACGTGCTGAACATTTTTGACATGGCGTGACTAAACAACGAATAAAAACGTTGTTCCGGATGAACTCGAAACGCGGCTGTTCTGCATGATTTTGCGAAAACATCATAGAAATTGATCTAAAATTGACCTTACAACAAGTTTTTTTTTTTATTTGGTTTTTCAATGAAATGTATGGTGTAAAAATTGCAATGTGACTCATTTATGGCCATATACTGTAGCTTAAAAAATAGCTTGTAATATTAAATACTAATTTAGACACCTCATATAAATTAATTTCTTTAAAATCCTCAGTTAATTTACCTGCTGTTAGCCATAACTTCAAGAAAAATATTTCAAGGCATATAGTTTCATTTATAACGTAAACATTGCTAAGGATGATGCAATTCTTGAATCTTTTGATCTATGCGAAAAAAATCCCAATGGTCTAATACATGATTAAAGCAATTTTAAAATGTAAACAATGAATGATGCAATCTTCTGAAAGTTATCTTTGTGATAATGTATCTAATTATGGCATTTAAAATGCACCCGAAAAGCTACAATCAAATAAAAATTTCTATAATATACTGATGGTCAATATTGCAATATCTAATCAATATAACACGTTCTGAAAAATAAACTTTCAAAAGTTTTCTTTTTGTGTTATTAGCCACAGCCAAAATGATATTCTCAATTTTAGGAGAAATGCTGTTGAACTTAATATGTGGAAACAGTCCATGTTGTTAAGGACATTATACAATCAAAGTTAACCATGGATAAACTATATTCTAGTCCTAACAACCTTTTACTCAGCTTCTCGCCGGTCTCCGACATCGCCACATGTGCGCCAATAGCGAATAGCGGAAAAAAGGCTGTACGAACTTCCTCTGTGCAGAATCTCGATCCCGATGTAAAAAGATCTGATCATGTACACTAAAAATCAATTATTACAAATTTCTTACAGTAAATTATGCTATGTATCATTTGCTAAAAATTGCAGCTGATGGCAACTTGATTTATGATACGTTTGGGTCTAGAGCCCATCCAAAAGGCTCCAAACATTGTTTTTTTTTTTCAGACGTGGATCCAGGATTTTTTTCCCTTCGGCGACGCGTACTAAACTTTAGCGCGTTTTTCTGGGGACCGGTAAAGTAAAGTCGTTCCTCGATAAGTTGTATGACAGTTAATTTGTGTATGTTAACTTATTTATAAGTAGACATTTTAATTAACATTTAGCCAGGCGGTTCATGCATATTCGAGTTTTCCCAATGTAATCCCCATTGTGACCCGCCCTACCCGGAAGACCGTGGTCTAAAATTAGATAATCTCTCGTACCTCTACAAGTTTTCACGTAAGTTTCAGCTTTTCTGATCTGGACAGCAGTTTCTGAAAAGAAGGTTGTTTAGGATTTTCCCCTCACATGTCAATGAAAATCTTAGATTCTTGACTTTGACAGTTTGACTTACAGAGCACCATGAGCTGAATGATTAAAAATCTGCAATAAGGAAACATTCACTTGAACCTTTTCTGGTCCTATGGTTCTTGAGCAGATTTTTTTCTGTAGTAATACATTTCAATGTAAAGTGTAAAACATTGATTCCCCTATTGTGGGCCCCACCCTAAGCCAATTTCAGGTTTACGTACACTTCCTGAATTTAAGAAGCATCCACATGAGTTTCAGCTTTTCTTGTATACAGTGGTTCGAAATATTTCAATTAATGTAGAACTGATTCCCTATTGTGGCCCGCGCTATCTCTGGAGGCCATTTATTAAACAATTTAGAATCTAAAATACCTCATGAAGCTTCAGTCTTTCTGACCAATTGTTCTTGAGAAGATTTTCAGGGATTTTTCCAATATATTTCAATGCAAAAGTTTAAGTCCATATTGTTGCCCTACCCACTCCCGGAGGCCATGAATATAACAATGTTGAATCAATACATTACATGTGTACCTTAGAGAGCCTCCACATAATTCCGACTTTTCTGGTCCAGTGGTTCTTGCAGAGAAATTTTTGAATGGCCTTCCTAGGTTTTCTCTTTAATTTGTAATCCTCCTTCCAATGGAAGGAGATAGACCTATAACTTCAACAATTTAGAATGTTAGATGTTTTGAATCAACTTTGTCTACATTGGCTAAATAGTTGTTGAAAATAGTTGAAAATGTGAAGAGTTTACAGACGGACGGACAACTAGACAGACAGATAGACGGACAAATGACAACGGGTGATCAGAAAAACTATAGCTTGAGCTATAGCTTTTGAGCAAAATGTTTTAGCAGTCCTTATAAACTAATTCCGTTGTAACACATTGCGCTATGTTTATACCGGTATTAGAACACACACGATGCTCCTCAAAATTGTCCTCTGCAGTGTACTTTTATTAAGATGTTCACTCATGTGATCTGATTTTATATGCAAGTTTTATATGCGCCCTTACGTGTCAGCACTCATAATTAGAGGTATTTGATGTAGTGTGTACTTTTCAGCTGTTGGTGCTTGTTCGGATCTAGAATCACTATCAATTTACCTCTGGTTCACGTTCTTGTTACCTTCCAGGAGCAAACTAGAGGTACTGTGAGCAAAGAGCTCACTAACTGATACCCCCCGCCTCCCATATTGTTATAATGACAAAGTCCATGTTTTGCAATAAGAGACCCGAAATAAGTGTCAAATCAAAATAGGAGGTACATAATGGCATTATGTAATGAAGAATATGTGAAAGGACCATTCATTTTTTTTCACTGGTATAGGGAGAGTTGCGGATAAGAGATGGGCACCCATCACAGGCACCTGACGTTACTTATTTTTCTTTTAATAAAAAATACCCTTACCTTATAATAAGGTAAGGGTATATTTTTTTTATTAAAAGAAAAAATAAGTAACGTCAGGTGCCTGTGGTACCCATCTATCTTATAGAAAACAAAGGCCGTGCCCATGTTTTGCTTCGGGAAACCCCAAATATGTGTCTGATCAAAAAGTAAAATAGGAGGTGCAAATGGCACTAATAGATATAATTCCCAAAGCAATACATTGGCACGGCCATTTTTTTCTATAGTGTTGAAGGGTATATATCCGTCTCTTGTCTGCAACTCCATTTATACCACTGAATACAATTTAATGATACTTTCATCGATTCTTCCTCACATAATGCCATTGTGCACCTTATATTTTACTTTTTGATCTGACACTTATTTCAGGTCCCCCAGTGCGCATGCAAAACATGGACTTTGCCATTACAACCATATGGGAGGCGGGGGAGGGATATCATTTAGTGAGCTCGTTGCTCACAGTACCTCTAGTTTCATATTTGATTGCTTATAAAATATATCCAATGATACCTTTTTTTTTTAACTTTTCTGGACAAAAGGATGAAAAACTTAATTGCCAAAAACTCTTAAATGGCCCTTTTGTCCACTAATAAATTATGAGTAAACACATGCTTGCGAAACACAATTGATTCTCAAAATTTGCCTAACATTGAGTCTGAAATGTGAAATTAGAGGCCCATAGGCCACACCGCTCACCTGAATAACTTTAACCATACTGTTCTTCACCTAATTCTCCATTTATAAACTTGTTGTGGTCCCACCCTAGCTATGTCCGGAGGTCATGATTTGGACAATTAAAAATCTACACTACCCCAAGATGCTACCAAATACATTTCTCCTTTTCTAGCCCAGTAGTGCTTGAGTTTTTTAAATTAACTTTTTCTTCAATATATGTCGATGTACAACTTTGATCCCCTTTTGTTACCCCGCCCTACCCCAAGGGGTCATGCACTGAACAATTTAGAATTCACACGACCCAAGGATGCTTACATATAAGTTTGAGCTTTCCTGACCCAGTGGTTCTTGAGAAGATTTTTCCTGTACACATGTGTATTTCACTGTAAAACCGGGATTCCTTATTGTGGCCCCACCCTACCCGGGGCTTCTATATAAATTAAGCTTTTCTGGCAATGGTTCTTGAGAAGATTTATAATGACTCCATCTTATTTTCATCTTTTCTTGATTATCTCCCCTTATCCCCAATCAGATGATTTGAACACATTTGTATCTACATCACCTGAGGATGTTTCTAAATAATTTTTGTAAGGGGGTGGGATGGACCTTCATATTCACAATTTTAACTCCTCTTTACCCATGAATGCTTTGCACCAAGTTTGGTTAAAATTGGCCCATTGGCTCTTGAGAAGAAGTTGAAAATGTAAAAAAAAAAAAAAAAGTTTACTGGCGGATGGACGGTCAACGGACAACGGGTGATCAGAAAAGCTCACAGGTGAGCTAAAACCAGAATACAATGTAAATCAATTAGACTATTGTTTTTATTGTTGTTTTTTTAATCGATTGTTTAAAAAACTCTACGGTGTTTATTATTCGTCAGTCGTCAACTTCCCTTACTTATGCTGCATACGGAGTTTATATCTTTCAGATGATTCGTAAGCAAGAGCATGCTCTACGTATGCACATTTTCTAAAACGAAGTAAATTATTGACACACAAGTTGACGAAACAAGGATATTAGCAATGTTATTCTAAAGTCATCATTTCGTTAGTTCTTTGGTCGATACAATGAGCTTTTCAGCAAATACAGTTTATCATTGAGTCAAATCTTAAATGACACTTGTCAAACTAATTATTAGTCCATTATTTACAATAGCTGTAGCTGCAGAACTGTAGCTCTTCGAAAAAAAAAATACATTGATAGACCGGAGAGCTACAGTGCCACCCATTGAAAAAAACTGTATATTTATTGCGCACAAAAAAGTGCGCTGTTTTTCGATTTATTTCTGCATGTTTTTAAAACTGTCATTTCAAAATATTACTAACCGTGTGTTCCTAACATATTCTTTCACTGTTTCCACAACAAAACATTCCTTATAATTGTTTTTAATAGCCCTCCTGAATTTGTCATCAAAATTATCGCCTATTTATACTGCTATTTTGTTTGCAAAATAATGGTCCAACGCACTTCGTACAGGTGTAACACAAATAATTGATACACGTGCTTACTCGATGTTTATATGAAAATTTGATTGGCTATTATATTTTGCAATACCTGTTCTAAAAATATTCGAATGAACCATCTGACCGATTTTTCCTTTCTAAAGAAATGGGCGTGTCATTGTATGACAATCATCGTTATAAAGATAGCGCAAAAATATACAGTTTTACCACTTCAATGCGCTTCATTGTATGTTCTTTGGTCGATACAATGACCTTTTCAGTAAATACAGTTTATCATTGAGTCAAATCTTGATTGACGCTTGTCAACCTAATTATTAGTCCATTATTTACAATAGGTGCAGAACTGTAGTTCTCCGAACAAATATTTTGACAGACTGGAGAGCTACAGTACCACCCATTGAAATAACTGTATATTATTTGCGAACAAAAATTTGCGCTTGGTCCTGTATTAATTCTTCCAAATTCTTTACTCAAAAGCAAAAAAGCTATATTTCAAACAATTCCTTACTTCAGAGTTCTCTATCAAGAAATCTCGTAGTTTACATCTGCATGAAACACATTAGACCGGATTATCTTGCAAACAAAATGGCAGTATGAATAGACAAATTAGCCAGGAGGGCTACTAACATCAATTAAAAGGAATGTTTTGTTGTGGAAACAGTGAAAGAATATGTTAGGAACACACGGTTAGTAATATTTTGAGCTGACGGTTTAAAAAACACGGCGAAATGAACCGAGAAAAGTTTTTTTTTTTAAATGGGTGGCACTGTAGCTCTCCGATGTGTGTCAATATATTTTTTTTTCGGAGAGCTGCAGTTCTGCAGCTATATTTACAAGTGACGACGAATTTTTCCGTTATTTCCCGATCATAACAAGGAGCACAGGGCGGG